GTCCTTCTTCACCTGAGACCCGCTTTCCCGCACTCACTTCCCCCTCGCTTTACCCTGCAGACGCTGTTTGGTGTGACGCTGGGTCTTGACCTTTGAAATTTATGGATTAGGTAATATTAAAAGCAAAAAAAAAAGGATTAACAGTTTGTCCCCCTCTTTTTAATTTGACAAGAAAAAAAAACGTTTAGTAGCTCACACCGTTTTTCTCAAGAAAGGCCAGTTTAATACCAAAAGAGCAAAAAAGGCATAATCTCAGAATAAGGATGGGCACTTACTTTGCATATTGCATTATAAAATAATTAAGTATATCATAAGTAATGTATTTGCTGCATACAGGTGAAAACTATGAATTGAGACCACCCTGTTGGAGGGGTGCCTGGGTGGCTCAGTCGGTTAAGCTGAGGCTTAACTGATGGATTCGACTCAAGTCGTGATCTCAGGGTCCTGGAATCCAGTCCCTTCCCGGACTCCTTGCTCAGCGGGGATGTGGCTTGAGAATTCGCTCTTTCCCTCTCCCTCCGCCCCTCCCCTCCGCTGTCAATCTCCCTCTAAAAATAAATAAATCTTAAACAAAACGCCCTCTTGGAAACCATTGATTTGGCAGTGGTTTTTGGAGCCAAATTTAGGTTATAAAAACCAACTGCTATTTACTAAGTTATCTTTAGGCAAGTTACCCTTTAGCAAACTATCCCATTTGAAAAAGGGGGCTATATGATGACTGGTGGTATGTTAAATGCATAGTTTACATTGCTTCATAAGAAACAGTTTTGAGGGGCGCCTGGGTGGCTCAGTCGTTAAGCGTCTGCCTTCGCTCAGGATATGACCCCAGGGTCCTGGGATCGAGCCCCGCATCGGGCTCCCTGCTCAGCGGGAAGCCTGCTTCTCCCTCTCCCACTCCCCCTGCTTGTGTTCCCTCTCTGGCTGTGTCTCTCTCGGTCAAATAAATAAATAAAATCTTTAAAAAAAAACACAACAATTTTTTTTTTTAAAGATTTTATTTATTTATTCATGAGAGACAGAGAGAGAGAGGCAGAGGGAGAAGCAGGCTCCCAAGGAGCAGAGAGCCTGATGCGGGACTCGATTCCAGGACCCTGGGATCATGACCTGAGCCGAAGGCAGACGCTTAACCATCTGAGCCACCCAGGCGCCCCAAAACACAACAATTTTGATTGTTCTCACTCATCTACTTGCCTTTCCTGGTTTAAAGACCTAGAGGGCAGTCACACATACAATACTCTTCTATGTTAATAAAATCAAGTTTAAAATAATATGAAAGAGGGATGCCTGGCTGGCTCAGTAGCAGAGCCTGTGACTCTTGGTCTCTAGGTAGTGAGTTCAGCCCTCCCTTGGGTGTAGAGATTACTTAAAAAGTAAATCAAAAGATGAAGCTTCTTAAATAATAATGTGGAAGAGATCAAAAGCTAGATAATACTCACAAGGTTTACCACCCCACACTCCCCAAATTGTTTTAAGTAGGAGAAGTGAAATATTTTTCAGGTTGATTTAGAATAATACTCCTTTCCTGCTCACCACCAATAGGTGAATCCAATGAATAGCTTTTTAAACTGATTTATTATTGACATATATTAGTTTCAGTAGTACAAAATAATGATTGATAGATGTATATACTGCTAGAGGATCACTATAGTAAATCTAGTTAACATCTGTCACTATATAATTGCAATTTTTTTCTAATGATGAGAATGTTAAAGATCTACTCTCAGCAAATTTCAAATATGCAATTCATACTTTTTATTTTTAACTCTAATCACGATCTGCACATTAAATACCTATGACATATTTAAAAAGGCTTTTTATTTATTTTAGAGTGAGAGAACATGAGAGAGACAGAGTGGGGGGAGGGGCAGAGGGAGAGGGAGCATCTCAAGCAGACTCAGAACTGAGTGTGAAGCCCAAGGCTTAATCTCAGGACTCTGAGATCATGACCTGAGCCAAAATCAAGAGTCAGATGCTTAACAGACTGAGCCACTCAGGTGCCCTCCTATGACATTTTTGTAACTGTAAGTGTGTGCCTTTTGACTGCCTTCACCCATTTTCCTCCTTCCCCATTCTGTTCTCTGTTTCTATGAGCTCTGTTGCCTTTCTGTTTTATTTTTATTTTTTTAAGATTTCTCTATTTGAGTTGGGGGGTTGGGGCAGAAGGAGAGAGTCTACAAGCAGATTCCCTGCTGAGTGCAGAGCCTAATGCGGGGCTCATTGTGGGGCTGAATCTCATGACCCATAGATCACGACCTGAGCTGAAACCAAGATTCAGACACTTAACTGATTGAGCCACCCAGGGGCCCCTGTTTTTTTGTCTTTTTTTTATTCCACATGCAAGTGAGATTATATGGTATTTGTCCTTCTCTGTCTGACTTATTTCACTTAGCATAATGCCCTCTAGGTCCATCACATCACAAACGGCAAAGATTTCATTTTTTAATGAAAAATGTATGTATATACATTTACTTAAAAAATAAAAGGATGAAGCTTCTTAAGAAATAATAATGTGGAAGAAATCAAAAGCTAGATAATACTCACCAGGTGTACCACACCACACTCCCCAAATTGTTTAAGTAGGGGAAGTGATATATGTAGATATGTATGTATATACATTTTGTATGTATATACATTGTGTATGTATATACATTTTGTATATATATACATTGTGTGTATATACTACATTTCTTTTTTTTTAAAGATTTTATTTATTTGAGAGAGAGAGAATGAGATAGAGAGAGCATGAGAGGGAGAGGATCAGAGGGAGAAGCAGACTCCCCACTGAGCAGGGAGCCCGATGCGGGACTCGATCCCGGGACTCCAGGATCATGACCTGAGCCAAAGGCAGTCGCTTAACCAACTGAGCCACCCAGGCGCCCTACATTTCTTATCCAACTCATCAACTGATAGACATTTAGGTTCTTACGATATCTTTGGGTATTGTAAATAATGCTGCAATGAATGCAGGGGTGCATACCATTAACCCTTCAACAACATGGGTTTGAATTGTATGGATCCACTTATATGTGAATTTTTTTTTCAATAAATAAAGTGCAGTACTGTAAATGTATTTTCTTTTCCTTGGGATTTTTAACATTTTTTTTCTAGCTTAGTTTATGGTAAGAATACAGTATATAATACATACACCAAAAATGTATGGGGTGGGGGTTGGTGTGCCCCTAACTCCCACATTGTTCAAGAGTCAACTGTATATATATATATATTTTTTTTTGAGTTAGTTTTTCATTTTCTTCAGATAAATACCAAGAAGTGGAATTACTGCATCATATGGCAGTTCTATTTTTTAATTTTTTGGGGAATCTCCATACTGTTTTCCATAGTGGTGTGCCGGTTTGCATTCCCACCAGCAGTGCACAGGGGGTCTTTTTTTCTCCAGATCCTAACCAACACTTGTTATTTTTTGTCTGATTCTGGCCTTTCTGACTAGTGTGAGGTGATATCTCATTGTGGTTTTGATTTTTATTTCCCCAGTGATTAGTGATGTTGAACATTTTTTCATGTTTCCGACATTTTTTTCATGTTGGCCATCTGGATGTCTTCTTTGGAAAACTGTCTATTCAGGTCCTCTGCCCATTTTTTAATTGGATTGTTTGGTTTTTTTGGTGTTGAGTTGTATTAAGTTCTTCATATATTTTAGATATTAACCCCTTATTAGATATATCTTTTGCAAATATCTTTTGCGTTCACTAGGTTGCCTTTTTGTTTTGTTGATGGTTTCCTTTGCTATGCAAAGCTTTTTATTTTGATACAGTCCCAATCCTTTATTTTCTGCTTTTGTTTCCCTTGCCTCAGGAGGCATCTCCATAAATATGTTGCTAAGGTCAATGTCCAAGAGATTGCTGCTTATCTTTTCTTTCAGGAGTTTTATGGTTTTGGATCTCATATTTAGGTCTTTACTCCATTTCAAATTTATTTTTTGGTATGATGTAGGTAAGCAGTCCAGCTTCATTGTTTTGTATGTAGCTGTCCAGTTTATCCAACACTATGTATTGAAACAACTGTCTTTGCCCCATGTTATATTCTTGCCTCCTTTGTCATAAATTAATTGACCATATAGGAGTGGGGCTTATTTCTGGGCTCTCTATCCTGTTCCATTGATCTCTGTGGCTATTTTTATGCTAGTACCATCCTGTTTTGATTACTATGGTCTTACATCTTGAAATCTGGGATTGTGATACCTCCAGTTTTGTTCTTCTCAAGATTGCTTTGGCTACTCCAGGTCTTTTGTGGTTCCACACGAATTTTGGGGTGGGTGGATGTGTAGTAGTATATAATTGTTGTGTTAATCTGCATTTCTCTGATGACTAAAGAAGTTAAGCATCTTTTCACATACTTACTGGCCGGATTCTTCTTTGATGAAGTGCTGTATAAGTCTTTGGTCCCTTCTTTCCCAGAGGAGATTTTTATTAGGATGCTTTTTCAATTCTTTCTTACCACATTATAGGCATTCTTGGCTATATTCTGGATATGAATTCTTTCTTTAAATCTATTGCAAATATTTTCTACTCTGGATTGTTTTCCCTTCTAGCAATAGTGTTTTTGATGAACAGAATTTAGTTTCAATGATACCCAATTTATCAATCTTTTCCTTTGTGTTTGGTGTTCCTTGAAGTTGATACCATTATTATCATCAACTGGTTTTTACAGAGAAGTTAATTGAGGTGCTTGGCACTGGAACTCTCGGGGCCAGGACTACAGTGAGGCAGGCCTAGGGCAGCGATGACTCAGGTCCCTACAAGTGTGCCCAGCATTTACAGGGCTCAGTCAGTGTCTCCTCATATTTTGAGCCCTGGATGCCTCACTTGCCTCAACCTAGGCCTGGCCCTACCAAGGTCTTGAATTACCTCCCTACGTGTATCACCTTCCTGCAGCCTAGAGCAAAATAATTCTACTTGGGTTCTCCGAATTTGGAATTCAGTAGCCTGAAGTAAGTTTCATTTTACTGGCAAATGATCATCCTGCTCAGTCTACCAAACACGGTGCGCGATGAAAGGTACCCAGGTCTCTGCTCTGCTTACCACGTTCTCAGTTTTCCTGAATCGGTGACTGAATTTGCTTCAGTCCTCTCAGAGTTTGAGACGCAGAAAGTGTCCCACGACTGACTTAAGAGAATTTCAGGAGCTTCCCAGGAACTTTCAAGAAATGTGGGGGCTCGCGTGTGAGGGGAGGAACAGACGCTCCCGGGGACCCCTGTGGACTGGATTCTAAGCCCGGCACCGGCGAAAACCTGGATCAAGGATCGCTGGGCCTGGGCGCGCGAGGAGTTATGCCCCCTTCCCCAAGGGGGACTCCTTTCCGAGTCTTCGCCCCAGCTCGGGCAGGGTGCAAACTGAAAGTGGAAAACCGCGGGGCTGCCGGCCGCCGAGCGAGCCTCCTACCCCGAGACAAGGTGAGTGGGAGGCGCTGGGTCGTTTCTGGCTGGAGTGCTACTTGGTGGGGACAGGGTCTTGATGCCCACAAATCAAAGGAGACTTCCTGGTGCGCACGGAAGCTGGGAAGCCGCCCGCCGGACTCGCAGCCGCAGGGCACCCCCTCTTTGCGCCCAGAAGGGAGTGCGTGCCAGAGAAAGACGGAGTTGTGCGCGGAAAAAGAAGCCGAGTCTGTTTTGGGAAACCTTGGGCAGCGCTTTCCGGAGACCGCCTGAGATTTAAAACTATCAGGGGCTGGAAAAGCACAGGTGGGAGGCCGGTGACGCGCCAGAGCCCCCGCAGGAGCCCGGGGAAGGCCCGCGGGTCCCCGCCGCCGGCAACTGGGGGGATTTCACGTCCCTCCCCTTTGCCGCGATCCTCCCAGCCCCGCCGGTTCCAGAGCCTCACTCTGCCAGGTTGTGTTGAGAATTGCATCCTTCTTCCCCACATTTTCTCTGAGAATCACTAGTTGCTGGAATTGTGTGCAGAAGTGGTAGGGATTCTGACTGCCCAGCTATAGCGGGCATTGCGTATTTCATGGAGAAAATGCCCCGGGGGGAGCCCCAAGACCGGCAGGCTTTCGTTATCCATATGCAATCCGTTTCTTCGGTATTTTTCACCCGATTAGCGCCCTCATTTCGTGTAAGATGTAGAAATAACATCGATGTGATTTTCATTTCCTGGGCATCTTTTAATGATTCTTGAATATGTAGCAAATGTCACGCAAAAGGACTGTTTTCCTTAACATCACACTTCCCAACAGACTGCCCCCCTACTCGCTGCCACATCTCCCTAAAATGCGTGCGGTGACTTGGCTGGTTCATTTCATTTGCGGAGTGCTTGCGCTCTGGCTGGGTGTATGGCAAGTTGGTCTTCAGGACCTCATTCTCCTTGTATGCCCTTCCTTCCCTCCATATGAGACAACCCAGAAGCTCATGACCAATCTTGGGCTTGCTCGTGATGTCACACTACAACTAGGGCATTGTTTCTGGTCCACCCCGCGGTCTCTCAAAGGGAGGGGGCTTTCAGGTGGGTCCCAGCTATCCGCATCGAATAAGCAACCCAGGTATTTGCACACTAAAGTGGCAGACCCACCAATCTAGAAGCACCCTCACCTCAATTTCACAACTTTCTCCTGCTGTCTGCAAGCCACAAGCACTGTCCTAGCGGCAGAGGGTCATTAAGGTCAGCTCCATCTTTGATACTGCTGTAGGAACTCTTCCTTTGCGGGCTGCCTGCTAGATGGCAGTGTGTAACAGTGAATTAAATACACAGCCTTAACTGTTAGTGTTACTATGGCTCATCTTTTATCCTTCACTTAAAAGAACTGTTTATCCTACAAACAGTACATTAAAAAAATTAAAACTAGGGTTAAATTTTGAAAATAAAGAACAAGAACATAGTTTGGACAAACAATAATGTTATTCACAGATGTGTAAGTATTGCTCAGATGCAGACATTTCCAACCCATGTTTAAATGCTTTCTAAATGTGGAATGTAAAGTGTTGATTTCAGTGGGAATGCAATACCTAATTCAATTACCAGCATTTCCCGATAAACATTATAGTGTTTCTTTTAAGATTTTGTTTATTTATTTGACAGAGAGAGAGAGACAGCGAGAGAGGGAACACAAGCAGGGGGAGTGGGAGAGGGAGAAGCAGGCTTCCCTCGGAGCAGGGAGCCCGATGTGGGGCTCGATGTGGGGCTCGATGTGGGGCTCGATGTGGGGCTCGATCCCAGGACCCTGGGACCATGACCTGAGCCGAAGGCAGACGCTTAACAACTGAGCCACCCAGGCGCCCCCATTATAGTGTTTCTGAACATGGGTTGTTAAACATTAAAAAAAAATATATGTCTCTCTTTATTTACAGTGTTTTTAAGGTATTTATTTCTTTGAGAATAAAATTTGAGTTTTCAAAAGTTAATGCTGAATTACTAAAAAGGAGAATGAAGATAAAGTAACCCTAAACTTGTTATATAGAAATATTTCTTTATATTTACAGAACTATTGGTTTATGATGACTCAGACTATCTTAATGACTGTCTCTTTACTTGATTGGTCTTTCTTCTGTGGAGAGTTTTTGCTCCTGGACACTATTTGTGGGATCAGAGAGCTTCATTTTGGGATGAAGCCCCAGGAGATCCCCTGGTCCAGCCCTTTGTCTTTGGGCATGTGGAGTGTTAGCCACATTGTGTTGGTGTTATTTAACGGGTGCCTCACTCATGATTACATAAATGATCAAAGCAGATGAGGGATTTCAATTCACATCTTTCCGGTAGGAAGATTGTTACATTGTAACCAATAAACTCTTCTTCGAGAAAGAACAGTTACTAAGAAGACCTTCCAAGGAGAAAGATTGAGAAAGTCTTGCTCTTCGGAAGCTGACTAAGTTCTTGTTGTAATACAGAATCTTCACAATTTTGTGCCCTCACCTTTATTTAAAAAAACCTATTCCCTTTGAATGCTTCTATTTGAGGCTTCATGTCAGTCTTTTCTGTTTTTTGCTTTTTTTTGGTCTGGAAATGTTTTAAGTTAGTTTCTTCATTAAGTAGCACCACTAAATGAAGTTATATTAGTACTACATAATTTGAATGCTTCAGCATGTCCAGAATTTAAGTGTTAAGAATGACATCACCTTTGGTTCTACAATAGAGATGTGAAGGTCTCGGGCTGCAAATTCTCCCCGACTCCCCACCATTAATCACCAGCCTGGCCTCACATGACTGCCAGTATCCCTTCATCTCTCCTTATTTATCTGTCTTACCTGAAATGTGTGCTTGGTGGAAGAGGATGACCTTCCCAGATAGAAATCTTCAACCCTAAGCACTCTAGTAAAAATAAATGCTTAGCAAAATATGAAGTGTTTTTAAAAAGAGTGAGGAAAGCGAACACCAATAAATGTCAATAAAGAAAATTGGATGAAAGTGGAAATGAACCACCATGCCATGTTCGCCATATGCCCAAGGAACAGGCACAGGCACTAAGGAAGTTTTCTGCAAATTAAGAGTATGTCAACTTTTTAATGTTCGACAAGTGTTTTATATGCATCCAATAAAGCAACTTCAGAAAGTTTCCTGAAATCTGCCAGCTTCCTGCATTCTTTCCACTGCTGTGATAGAAACAAGCATAATGATATGGACCTAGATCTCCCAACTTGGCATTGGGAGGGGTAAGGCTGGCCAAAGCAGGTGGCCTGGAGAGTCTAGGAGAACGGCTGGGCTAGTGAAGGAGGTGTGGATGTGCTAGGTAAGGACTAGAGCACAGAATAGGAAGCTACACTCCAGGAAGAGTCGGAACAAAGGCTGTGTGTGGAGGAAGCTGGAGAAGTAGGGTAGGGTACAGGGAGTCTTGTTTTCGGAGCTGATGCATTTGATCTTAATCTTGAAATCTGTGGGAAACCATTGATGGATCGTAATCAGAGGAGAGAGATCCAGTTTACATCCCAGAAACAACTCTACAGTCAAGTGGAGAGTGCAAAGGGTCAGACTGGTAGGAACACCAGTTGTCAGGCTTTTGGAGAAACCAAATAGGAATGAAAGAGGAGTGTTGATGAGGACAAGTAGTTGAAAAGCTCCTGGAGAGTTGTCCAAAGGCCCTTAGACCTTCCCACCAGCCTGCCATCATCTGTCTTTCTCAGGACAGTCCTGTTTAAGGGATATTGTGAGGATTTATACGTTATAAAATGAAAACATACTTTGGGGGAGTCAAACCTACTTGAGAAATTACACCTTAGTGGGTATAATTTAAGCTTGGTAATTAGATACATTCCTTTTAAAGACTCTCCCTGGTCTAACCTTAAGCTCTGTTTAGACAGTCAGCGGCTTATTAACTCAATTGACCCACCAATGACTAGGGGAGAGATGATCAAAAGAGCCTTCCCAGAGTTCCCAGCCTCTGCCTCACCTCTTCCCCTTGCCCTGGGGACAGGAAGGGAGAGACAGAGACACATAAAGTGTCAGGGTCAGAAAACCCCATGCGTCTCCCAGGGTTACCTTCTCATTTTATACTCAGAGATGCAGGGCAGAAATCCTCTTCCGAGTCCCGTTTCTGAGACCCTTAACCTATGCCTTGGACTGGCACTGCGAGGCTGAAATCTGAAGCGGGCATCCTCAGACTGCTAATGTGCCCTAAGACCCCTCCTCTGTCCATTTTAACTCAAAACAAGGTGGAGAAATTTGAAATTATTTTAGGGTGAAGGTATTGCTGGTTTTGATGGACTAGCGCTTGCAGGAGTGTGAGCGAGTCATGCTCAGCTTCAGATCCCGCTCTGGGCAGCAGATGGCCAGCCCCAGGCAGTGCACGCGAGCCGAAAAATGCATTTCAGAAGCTCAGCTCTAGGGTCAAGAGGGTTGGTTAGCGAGCGTCCGTTTCAGACGTTCCCTACCATGGTTGTCTGAGCAAGCACACATTGCTTCATCCGGGAATGGAGTGTTCTGGGGCACCTTCTTGGCGGACTCTGAGATTCACCCTGCGGGCAGTGATGAAACAGGAGGGAGCTTTCCTCCTGGAGTCCCATTGCATGGTGCTTACTGACTTTTGCCACGCTCTCTGCAAGTCCATCTGTCCCACCAGTGGGGGCACTGGTGACTGGATGACAAGCTCCTGGGTAATTGATACCACATATTAGATTGATGTGCCCCAAGGTCTGGTTGATAGCTGCATGCTATAAATTGTAGTACCATCTACACTAACCGGCTCTGTTCTTTAGAGTAGTGGTGGGCATTTAACCACAGCTCAGTCCCTGAGACCTCACTATACCTCTGGCTTTGTGGGTATAAGCTAAATTGAGAGTCTTTGGATGAAAGGGAATTTGTAACCTTAAATTCCTCTGTCATAGTTCATACAGCCATGTCAAGACTTAAAAAGGCCCTACCTAGGACAGACCCTAGGACAGCATTGTGGTAGCTGTAAAAATACCCCAAACTATATCTTCCCATTCTCACCCTATCTTTTTTTTTTATGATTTAAAAAAAATTTTTTGTTTGTTTGTTTGTGAGAGAGAGAAAGAGAGACAGAGAGCATGAGGGAGAAGCAGACTCCCTGCTGAGTAGGGACCCCGATGTGGGACTCGATCCCGGGACTCCAGGATCATGACCTGAGCCGAAGGCAGTCGCTTAACCAACTGAGCCACCCAGACGCCCCTCTCACCCTATCTTTTGTTTTCCTTTATTACTGACCCTCTTTGACTCCTAACAAGTGGTCCTATTTCCTCCATCTCTTTTCTTTCCCATGAGCCTGAAGAGAGGTGACCTGATTTCTAGACCCACTTCAACCTATAGAAACTATGATCTTGGGCAAATCACTTAAACTCGCTGAGGCTTGGTTTCCTTATTGGTGGGAACTAAGAATAAAATCTACCTTGCTTACTTTACAAAGTGGTTATCAATAGGATTGAGTGGAGTGATAGATGTTAAAATCTTCTGAAGAAGATAGAATTTTATACCCACTTAAGGTGGTAATAATTCATTACCTAATCTGGGTTACATTAATTCTAGCTATAATAAATACCCTTTGCATATAAAACAAATTGGATCATCTTCCTGTAATGCAAGGGAAAGAAATAATGACAGTGAACGTTTATTCTTTATTGTGATGAAACCGAAGCTTACAAAGATTTAGTAACTTGTCCAAATTTATATTATGTGTAAATGACAGAGCCAGGATTGAAACCCTAAGTGCTAGCTCCACATTTTAGGTAGTTCATAGCTACTAACATCAACTGAGTAGAGGGAAGGCAATTTTCAGGTTCTTACAGATTTTTGTTACTATTTTCTCTGGTATACCGGCCGACCGAGAGCGATTTTATACAGGTTTTTTTCTCTGATGAAGGCAAATAATCTGTGTTAGTATTATTGGGTGGGAATTTTATAGTCTTAGTGTTAAAAAATATACAAGAATGCATGAACCTCAGAGTCTAATTAGTTTCTGGTTGTAGTCCTTATAAAGTTGTAGTGTTGGATAAATTAATCTACTTTTTTCAAATTGGGTTTTCTCATCCTTAAAAATGAGGACAGCAATTTTTCCTTCATAGAGTTGTGGGAGGATTGAATGATCTCATGCAAGCTGAACACTTAGGAAGGGCCTCGCTTACAATAGGTCACTCAACAAATATTAGTGATCTCCTTTACTTTGGCAAAGTGAGCGTGTCTCCTTTTGAAGTTCCAGTGGATGGGGCAGCAACATACTTTATATGATTCAGCTTCGTTTTACACTTAAAATATGATAAAAATTATAATGAATATTTATTTATTTTTATTTTTATTTTTTTAAAGATTTTATTTATTTATTTGAGAGACAGAGAATGAGAGAGAACACATGAGAGGGGATAGGGTCAGAGGGCAAAGCAGACTCCCTGCTGAGCAGGGAGCCCGATGCGGGACTCGATCCAGGGACTCCAGGATCATGACCTGAGCCGAAGGCAGTCACTTAACCAGCTGAGCCACCCAGGCGCCCTATAATGAATATTTAAAAATAAGATAGCAAATAGTTATTGGACATTTATGTACCACACTCTGAATAAGTAATCTTTAGTAATCTCATCTCATATAATTCTCAATAACTTCCTGATTAGGCACCCTTATTATCTACATTTTGGAAATCAAGATATTGAGAGGCTAGGTTAAACCAGCTGGGAGTTGAGATTTGAATCCTGGCAGGCTGATTCTAGAGCTGTTCTCTTAGTTACTGTGGATTGCAAGAGTTCCATAGGGAAAAGAGGAAAAACACATAATCGGTGATTTCTGAAACCAAGAGTCATTTTGTTGCTGAAGGACTTACCCTGGACTTAAAGTAAATCAAGGTAGATGCACGGGAAGGGAGTACACCTTTAAGGTTAATGTTTTTAACCAGAATTCTACATCATTTTTATATTTCTAATTATACCTTTAATGCTGTATCTGGGAGATGTACAATCAGATCTTAGAACCAGATATTTGGGGTACTATAAAACAGGTTCAGGAATGTTGATCCTTGCTCTGTTCTGAAACTCCACAGGGTCATTTGACCGAGACATTTGACTGCACAGAGCCCTGGGAATAAAAGGCATTGTTTGGAACTCTTTAGTTCATTTTTAAAACTTTTTGAAAAGATCATACATTTCAGACAGATGGAAATCTTATTTCAGAACTTCCAGAGAATCGTATTGTTCACACACCCCGCTGCTTTGTTACACTTGCCATAAAAGACTGAATAAATATATCAATAACCAGAATTCCTTATGTTATGGTGGAAGTTGTTTTCCTTAGGGAAAATTTGCGTCAGTTGATCATGATCTATTTTCAAACCAAGCCTGAACTTTTATTTATTTTCTCCTTAAATTTTACAGGAGTGGGTGGATAATTTTGGGAATTTTTTTTTTCATTTTTATTTTTAGAGAGAGGGAGAGAACACACACGGGGGAGGTAGACTGCGCTCAGTGTGGAGCCCAACACAGGGCTTGGTCTCACAACCCTGAGATGGTGACCTGAGCCGAAACCAAGAGTCAGAAGCTTAACCAACCAAGCCACTCAGGTTCCCCAATCATGGTAATTTCTATTCCACTTTTCTACGCCTTTGAAACCTAAGTAGAAGAGAATGAATACATGTATGTGACTTGTGGAATTCAATCTTCTGATGGCAGAGAAAATTAAGTGGAAACAGAATTTTAGACTCAGGACCTAATTGTAGACCTGTTGCAGTCCTCTAATGGGCTGTGTGACCTTGACCAAGTCACTTTACCTCTCTGATTTTGGTTTCCTTATCTAGGAGTGAGGTATCTCAGATCTCAAAGGTTCCTTTTAGTTTTAAAGTGTGAGGTTTCTATGTGATAACCCTGAAAGACTACATTTATTAAATCTTCTGCACTATGGCTAAAAAATTATTCATTTGTTACAGAATTTTTTGATGCCTTCTGGTTTGAAGAATCTCCAGCTGCTCTGTTGATAGATTAAGAAGACTGCATACTGTTCCCGCTCGATGCCAAGCCAGGACCTTGCAGAACCTGGGATCTCAGTCCTTCATGGAAACCAGATCCCAGCAGGAATGACAGTGGAAGAAATTTGTACCCAGATGGTTCCTCCACGTGAAGTTGTCTTGGGCTGTGGGGCGACTCGAGAACACCTGGTAACCAGGCTAGCCCTCTGTCAGTCACCCAGGGCCGGGCAGCATGGTGTGGATTCAGAGGAGGAAGCTTTTGGCATCTTGCCTATGCATCTCAGCCTCCGTCTTTCTGCTTGTCACACTCCAGGTAGCAAGAATTTGGGTTGCTTAGTGTCGATTGCTGAGCCATTCCAACCTTCCCACCCTCAACCCACCCCTGTTCTCTCCAAGTACTTTACTTTTTGCTTAATCTCTCAGGATTGGGGAGTTTTCTGTCTAAGGCAGGGGAAATACTCTTTTTGTCAATAGATAAAACTGAGGTTTAGTGAGTGGGTGTCAGGTAGAGATAAAATCACTGAGTAAGGGGTCAATTTATGACTCTTGTAGGGTCCTGGTTCTAGAAAAAGAGAAAGTAGAGCTCCGTCTGTCTTACTGGGTCAAATGTAGATGGATTTCTCAAAGCCCCCTATCACGATGACTTGTGAAAGATGGCATTCTTGAAGAAGTCGTGTGTATTCTAAGAATAAGCACATCCATTCTGTGGAACACAAGCATCCGCATTAATACATTTGTCATTCTTTTTTTTTTTTTAAAGATTTTATTTATTTATTCGACACAGAGAGAGAGATTACAAGTAGGTAGACAGGCAGGTAGAGGGAGAGGGAGAAGCAGACTGCCCCCTGAGCAGGGAGCCCGATGTGGACTCGATCTCAGGATCCTGGGATCATGACCTGAGCTGAAGGCAGACGCTTAACTGACTGAGCCACCCAGGCATCCCTGAATGTGGGTGTTTGAACTGCAGCATTTTTTAGTCTTGCCATCTATTTCATTTTGTCGGTGATTCTGAAGTTCATTACTGATTTCAAATTAAAGTAAAAATGATACAGCAATAGAAAAAGTATAGATACGAATTCAGATATAGTTTGGACCCATTCAAGCACCACCTGTCCATTTGGAAATCCAAAAGACTTCTAAAGATTATTTGTGGATGTGAGCAGTTCAGCTGTGGGGCTGATGGAAACAGAGGTGTTCTCTGGGCTTTTTCCTCTTGATCAAGATTGAATGAGATAATGCATATAAAAGTACTTTGGCAGACAGGCTGGTGCTGGACTTGTGCCACCTTCTGCTGCCAGATCAGGATTCTGGTTGGAGGAAATACTTGACTCCCTCTTCGTCTGTCTTGAGGGTGTCCGGGCTTGTGCGGGAGGGGCTGGAGTTCTCTACTCTCTGTGGGAAGTTACCAGAGCTTTGATCTTACCAGACAATTACTTTGGCACTTTTTTCAGTTATGAGGAATGGCTGTGTCGAAGCTAAGAGCTTTCCTTTTTTTCTAAGATTTTTTTTTTTTGTATTTATATATTTGAGAGAGCAAGAGAGAGAACGAGCAGGGGGGAGCAGCAGAGGGAGAGGGAGAAGCAGGCTCCCCGCTGAGCAGGGAGCCCGATGCAGGACTCGATTCCAGGACCCTGGGATCATGACCTGAGCCGAAGGCAGATGCTTAACCGACTAAACCATGCAGGCGTCCCTAAGAGCTTTTCTTTTGATGTCAGAAGACATTGCCATGTTTTTGGTATGCATGTCATTTCTGAGCTTCCATCACCTGTGGGGAATCGCTGTCCATCTATGTCCGCTCTGCCCGCCCTGCTCTCTAGACTCTTATTACTGATGGCCTAGCTATCCAGTGACCCAGACCATCCTAAAAGAAAGAAAGAAACATGGTTTTACATGGAGGGGAGCCCAGTACTCATGGTAGACTTCACTTGATGCCGCAGTAGAAATTATTAGAAATAGAAGACTTGTGTTATGACTCCTTTAACTGTAATAAAAAGAAACCAGTTGGTGATTTATAACGAAATCTCCCTAGAATGCAGTCTCGAGTAAGAGCCAGATAATTGCCCTGACTCTCACGGGTTTCATTAAGAGACAGAAGTATTTCCGGGTACTCTATATGCCGACGAAATGCAGAAATGTAGCTGGCATGTGTTTAGTAGAATTAAGCATGCTTGTTGATAAATATTTTGCCAGCACCCTAATCTTTGGAACTTGTGGGTATGTAAATTCACGTGGCAGAAGGGCTCTTGCAGATGGGATTAAGGTGAGACACTTCGAGATGAGGAGATTATCCAGAATTACCAGTGTGGGCCCAGTGTCATCACATGAGTCCTTAGAAGAGAAGAGTCTTCCCTGGCTGTGGTCAGACAGAGATGTGACAGCAAAATAAGCATCAGAAAGAGGCAACATTGCTGGCTTTGACGATGGAGAAAGGGTGGCGAGCCAAGCGATGGGTGTCTCTAAAAGATAGGAAAGCAAGAAAATGGATTCTCGAGAGCTTCCAGAGAAGAATGTAACCCTGCTGACGCCTTGCTTTTAGCCTAGTGAGACTCAGGTCAGACTTCTCACCTCCAGGACTATGCAATAATAAATGTGTTGGTTACTTTCTTCTTCTTCTTCTTCTTTTTTTTTAATTTATTTACATTTTAGAGAGACAACGGGGGGAGGGGCAGAGGGAGAGAGAATCTCAAGCAGACTCCTCACTGAGTGTGGGGCCCAATGCGGGGCTCAATCCCAAGACCCCGAGATCATAACCCCGAGATCACGATCTGAGTGGAAATCAAGAGTTGGATGCTCAACCAAATGAGCCACCCAAGCACCCCAATAAATGTGTTGTTTTCAGTTGCTGAGTTTGTGGTGATTTGTTCTAGCTGCAATAGAAAACTAAAACGAGGCTTCATCATCAAGATGAATGGGAGACGTGCAAGAGGCAATGAAACCATCTGGCTCTGTAATATTTGTCTTCTCTTTTAGGTAGTGGTTGAACTGGGAAAATTTGAAAGGAAGAAGTTTAAAAATTCCGATTTACCAGATGGACAGGCAAAGATGGAAGAGGAGTCTGCACATCTCTATCCACTGCCTAGGAAAGAAGCACTGACCTTGAATAGGAAAACCCAACTGGAAACTGATAGCTACCCCATCATGCTCTGGTGGTCCCCACTGACCGGGGAGACTGGAAGGCTCGGCCAATGCGGGACAGATGCGTGTTTCTTCACCATCAACCGGACCTTCCTACATCATCCCATGACCAAAGCATTCCTCTTCTATGGTAAGTAGGGCATTTGCCTGTCTCCCATGGCTTGCTGACATCCTACTCCAAAGCTGACTTACTGCTTACCTCCAGGGAAGAGAAGGTGGAGCTCCCCTTGGACACGTGGGACATGCCTGATTTCCTTTGCATTTGTTCTGTGAGAGGCCTGAGCATTTAGCAGATACAAGAAGTAAACAAGCTTCACCCACATAAAGGTGGTTGGCTGGCCCCTTGGTAATTCTGGAAGAGAAGGGATATTTCCTCTCGCCCTTTCACAATTGGACACTGTGCTTACTGAATTTGGTATTTAGGGAATTGGGTATTGATTCTATTGCTGATATTGATTCAGAATGTCACCTGCAATAATAAGCCAGGAGATTTTGATGACCTTAACAAATGTTTAATTGGACATTAGCTAAGCACAGTGTTCTTTATTTCGTTAGAGTAATCAGCAATAAAAATAAAAATATTGTTCAGCACTGGCTGAACAATATCGAGAGTAAGTTGGTATTCATCACTTCCTGAGGCTGATTATATGTCCTGCTGGGATTGAGGGCAACCAAACCCAGCAAGGGGAATTAGCAAGCTGCCAGGGGTGGCAGGAAATACAGAGCTCCTGGGGATGAGTGGAGGGGGCAAGAGGGTAAAGATGAGCCAACTCGACCAAATATAGGCAAGGTTGATCAGTTAGGAAGTCAGTAGAAGCCAATCTGCTTTAGAGTGGTGTAAATGTGTATCTGTATTTGTGTGTGTGTGTGTGAGAGAGAGAGAGAGAGAGAGAGAGGAGAGAGAGGGAGACTTCCACACTCTTCCTTTAGAGATTGGGCTGGGGTCTCTGCCTGAAACCACTAAGAGAGTCTGGTCTCCCCTTGCGTAGGCCAGAAGCAGCCATCACATCGCTGCTGTACGCCCTTGCCAAGTGTAGCTATTGATTTTTTAAAAAGATTTTATTTATTTATTTGACAGAGAGAGACACAGCGAGAGAGGGAACACAAGCAGGGGGAGTGAGGGAGGGAGAAGCAGGCTTCCCGCCGAGCAAGGACCCCGATGTGGGGCTCGATCCCAAGACCCTGGGATCATGACCTGAGCCGAAGGCAGACGCTTAGCGACAGAGCCACCCAGGCACCCCATAGCTACTGATTTTAATAGTGAGACATTTCTTTGAGAAATCTGATGCTACTCCAGGGCAAACAGGCTATGGGGGAAAAGTCATCTTAGTATATGACATGGCTCACTGAGACGACATAATGATGTCAACACTGATTACTAATCTATCTAAAATGATACAACTTTTGAGGAAGGTTCTGGGAGTGAGAAATTGAGTGGGGTGGGCAGGGGTGAGGGAGAGTTGAATATTCATCTTCTGTAGAAAGAATCAATATATACTGTCTAAAACTGACAAGTCAAGAAGTAAAATCTAAGCATGTTATTTGGGAATACTGGAGGTCTATGTGCATGTAGAACATGTTAAAAAGTTTTGTTTAGGGGCGCCTAGGTGGCTCAGTCATTTTGGCATCTGTCATGATTCCAGAGTTCTGGGATCGAGCCCCTGGTCAGGCTCCCTGCTCAGCAGAGAGTCTGCTTCTCCCTCTGCCCCTTTACCCACTTGTGCTCTCTCGCTCGCTCGCTCGCTCCCTCAAATAAATAAAATCTTTTTTTTTTTTTAAAGTTTTGTTTGAAAGGCCGCCACCGTGATATGACCACTTTGGATATTGGTCTGGCAATATCAGTCAACATAAATTCATACCAGATCATCCCACTGCTAGGCATGAAGCCTCACGAAATCTCACACATGCACATGGATTGCTTATTTGCATTGTTTGTCCTAAGTAAGGTTTTTAAAATCACCTAAATGTCCAGCGAGAGAAAAATGGTCAAATGAAGTGTGATATATATAAATTCAATGTGACACTACACAACAGTGGAAATGGAGCTCCTGGAGCTCCAAGCATTTCCAACATTGATAGACCTTGGAAATCATGTAAGAGGAAAAGCAAGTTAGAGAGCTAAGACAGAAAGTTAACACATCCTGTCTCCCCGAGATTCCTGACCTGCTCCAGTCTCCAGTTCTTGCCCTTTTTGGTGGGTACACAGGTGCTGTCCTGGCTTGCTGTTGTTCTGGGGGTTCCCTATGCCTTACTCTTGTGTTATCTCCCTGCTTCTTCTTCCTCTTCCTCTTCCTCCTCCTCTCCTTCCTCTTCCCCTTCCTCTTCCTCTTCCTCTTCTTCTTCTTCAGACTTATTTATTAGAGAGAGAGAGAACATGGGGGAAAGATTGTGGGGGGAGAGGGAGAGTATCCCAAGCAGACTCCCCACTGAGTGGGGAGCCCGATGCAGGGCTCAATCTCATGACCCCGAGACCATGAGCCGAGCTAAAATCAAGAGTCTGATGCTTAACTGACTGAGCCACCCAGGCACCCTTCCTGTTTCTTTTATGCCTTATTTTTCTCTTTCTTGGTTTATACTTTTGTTTCAGTGTGTTCTGAAGGTAAGTCTTCAGAGACTTTGTATGTGTGAAAATGTGTTCATTTTACCCTTACCTTCATTCATGGTTTGGCTCAGCATAGAATTCTAGGTGGGAAATGCTTTTCTTTCTGAATTTGAAAGACATTTTCCCTCTGTCTTCTAGCTTCTGCTGTTCTTGCTGGGCAATCCAAAGCTATTTTGATTCCCTCTCCTTTGTATTCTGTTCCCCTCTCCCTTCTCTGGAAAAATATCAAATATTCTCTTATTCACCGGTTTGGAAATTTAGTAATGATGCTTTGGTGTGGGTCTCTTTCCTTTTATTGAGGTGGGTACTAAAATATCGGATTGCCAGGAAGCCTACAAAGCAGTATTTAGCTTAGTGACTTTTCCAGGACTCACAGATCTATAGGTTCATGCACTTAATTTTATCAGCACACCAAGACTCGATTCTTCTTTCAGAGATGGACTTACCTCCAACCCAGTTCCCAGGAGACTGATGCATTAACTGGAATGCTTCTGGCTTGATCTTCCTATCTCAGGTTTTGTTATTCTCCAGCTCCTGAAAACATCCGTGACTCTCATTGAGATCTAAATATATGCCATTTTATTTTATTTTATTTTTTTATTTTTTAAAGATTTTATTTATTTATTTGACAGAGAGATAGAGAGAGAACACGAGTAGGCATAGTGGCAGGCAGAGGGAGAGGGAGAAGTAGGCCTCCCCGCTGAGCAGGGAGCCCAGTGCGGGACTCGATCCCAGGACCCTGGGATCATGACCTGAGCCGAAGGCAGACGCTTAACCAACTGAGCCACCCAGGTGCCCTATGCCATTTTTATTACCCTGGCATTCAAGGCCCTGAAATATGAATCCAGCCTGTCTTCTAAACTTCTAACCACTGTGATTCTATCAACCAAACCCTAGGTTTAAGAATCAAACTGCAGTAGTCACCATTTTAAGCAGAAGCCACAAATGTACTAATTTACTGCCACTGTTTATTCAGTTTCTGAGTCCTAGATTGTCCTTTCTATATGTGTCTTGTCAAACAATCTCCTGAATGCCCACCATTTGTTTGGCAACATGGATGAATAATGTAGCATCTAATGTCACAGATTATTATCTTGAGACAAAGATATAACCTGGCAGAAATGCAGTTCTAAGTGTACCATAACAGAAGTGTCAGTAAATCTTGTGGAATTTCAAAGAAGGGAGAGAGAACATATGATTGGAGGAGTCAGGAAAGGCTTTGTAAGACCGCCTTCATAAAACAGGAGAAATTTGAAATGTTGAGGGATAACGGAATTGGATTGGGTTGAGATTGGAGGACATGTCGGGATGAGGGATGGCGTGAATGTGAGCAGAGAAGTAGAAAGTTATGGGTAATATCTGAGGTACAGCAGGGCTGTAGCAGAGTTCTGGGTAAGAGAGAGATGGAGATTGAATGGTATATTGGGACCAGAACGAGGAGCACTTGAACGTTGGCTTAAGATTTTGCATCACATTGGAGAATGTTATCAGGGAACCCCTGAGAGTTGAATGGCCTTTTAAAAGCCAACTCAGAACACTGTGAACCACTCCGGATTCCCTCCCATCAGATGCAGCCTCTACAGTGTGCCAGGCACAATGCCAATCCTGAGGAATAAATAAGATAAATGAGGTAACTAGGCATTTGGTTTTGTTCTGTGTGATCTTCTCTTCCTTCACGGAGTGGAAAGTTTTGAGGATAGGGCAACGTCCGTTCATCTTTGTACCTCCTCTACCCCTTATATCTAGCACCTTATCTTTGGTAGGCGCTCAGGAAATCTTCACAGAGAGTCAAGCCAAAAAGGATGCAGGAGTCTAACCTTCTCTTCACCAAGGTAACAAGACTGAGGCCCTGGAAGGTGAGGGATGTGCCAAGATTGCACTGGGGTCAGCAGAAGAGTGGGACTGAGAGCCAACGGGCCCTCACACTTGGTTCATCCATCGCTCTTTTTTCTGTACCACATTTGAATGTATACTCATGAGTATAATTAAACCTGGATATTTGGATTTGGGAATTGCTTAAGATGTGTGGTTTTTAGCTGGCTGAATTAGAGATTCAGTTCATTAAGGAGGTCTGTTGAGCAAAATAGAATGAAGACACCACACGTTTCTGTCTGAGGGCTCCGCAAATTCTAATTAAGTAGGTCACTCACAACTGCGCCTGGGTCTCTGCCGCAGCAGGATTGAAAAAGAAAAGGCAGGGAAAATGATGCTCGTGTCAAAAGCTGACCTAATTTAGCCAAATGGAAACTTGGAGGATTATGTAACCTCGAAGCTATTGTAAACCAGAATATTTTTGAGTTTTCTTGTTTCCTTTGTAGCCTACTTTCTTTTTCTTCTTCCTAGATATGAGTTATTTACTTAATACGAACACTGTGAATACTGTGTCTGGTTTGAGCCATTTGAGAAATGCAAATCTTCAGCTTCATTAACAATTCTCTGAAATGAAAACAAAGCAGTCACAAGTGAATAAAGTGGTTTTTTTTTAAAACCCAAAGTCCAAGGGTTATGGGAGTCTTCGAAACTGTCAC